TTCATGTCTATAAAATTATTAAATAATAAATAAATTTCATCTCATTTCATTCTACTTGGCCTACAGTATTAAAATAAGTTTTGAATATATTATGGATTACTTTTGTTACTGCTGTCGATGGATTTAAATTACAACTTCTTTCCAAGGGTTTAAGCTGTTTATGATATTGTTCTCCAAAGTTGTCACTGGTAGCAGCTGTAAGATAAGATTTTTATTTTTCTTTCTTGTAAAATGTTGTGCAGAAGACATGTTAGGATGATTTTTGCAGCCTTATCCAGGGATAATAAAATCACTGTAGAGAAGACTTGACAAACAGAAGAGAGGATGCGAAATGCATTTTTGACAACTCTCCTTGCTCTTGATAATCTAACAATAATTTTAATTATAATTAATATTAAATAGCTCTTTTACCTATAATTTAAGATGGATTTCTCAGCTGTCAACTGTTTCATTGGGTAATGCGTCATTACTCGTGAAGACATACCAATTCCTTCATCTGTAACAAATACATATGGAATTTGCTATCCTACACTTTGAAGAGGACTATCTGGTGGAAAGTTTAACTTTCGATAATCAATGGCTTTTTTCAGATTTGATGCATTCCATATTGAAGAATCACTCTGTCTCTCATTAGTGCCTGCATTTATATATATAAATGAAAGATTTGCATGCACTATTGCCATCATAACCACACTATAAAATCCTTATTTGGAAAAAATAGAATTTTAGCAAATAGAATAACTGAGTACAACCTCAAATAATTGACTAATAACAGAAATACTACCTTTGTAGTTACAATAAACAGATCCAGATTGCTTAGGACATATGATTTGTACATGTTTTCCATCTATTGCACCAAGGCAATGAGGAAATTGCCACATTTCATCAAATTCCCTAGCAATATCTTCCCATTCACATACTGTAGATGGTACCTTAGAAAAATAAACAATTTTAAATTAATGTAGCCAATATAATAATAAAGTTAAAAATCAAAATAATATGAAGTTCTTTAAGAA